TAAGTTAGCATCCTTATGACACTGACGCTCATAGCCTTGTTGCTCTTGGCTTTTTGTTCTAAAATGTATTAGTTGGATAGTTTGCAGAATGTGTTTCTATCTTTAACCAGGAGTGGATAAAAGTGAGTAAATAGCAGAAATAGCTTGGGTAGATTTCTTAACTGACCTGTATCCAACAGAAATTTCTTCTACATGATAATTTCCTTCCCAAAACTGACTCTTGTTTGGGGAGCGTGTGCTAGACAAGGTCTCTATCACTTTACCAAATCAAAAGGAAAAGCAGTCAGGGCTGGGGTGAGTGATGGCATCCTGGAGGAGGCCTATAAACCTTCTTATGCTGCAGAACAGAGGTTTGTTGTAAGCCTTGCTGATGCCTGTTCTAGCGGATGGAAGGTATTAATCAAAATCAAGATGTGGGAAAAGGGGAAGGAATCAACTCTCACGATAATAGAATCCAGTTTGTCCTATGGTCATTGACTATATTTAAAGGGGCCTTCCGAGAGTTTGCAACACATTTCATATATATTTCAGGAAATATACCATGATCTCTTATTTTCAGAATAAGGTCCACGTTTAGATATACAGGAAAAGTTCCTTGAAGGCATGGTGTCAGTAGTGTCTATAGGAACTGAAACACCATTCTATACCTAAACCTTGCCTTGATTCACATCTGCCCCAAGTTTGCACTTGATTGACTGGTGCCAAGACAAGGCTGTGGGTGATTTTTATCTGCACTGAGGCTGTTGCTTCATTTTAAGTGAGCCTCCACAACTGCCCTATTTCCTAACTATATATAAGGAAAGCAGAACAAAGAGCTAAAAGGATGACTAGCTCACCTTGTTAGTGTATCTGACAGAGTAGATCTCAACAGCACTGTCAGTCACATTGGTATATTCCTGGTAAGTCAGGTGCATTGTAAATTTCAATTAAAGGGGGACAAAACTAAATCTGAGATAATTTAAGGTTATGTCATTTCACTCACTTGGCTTGTGAGATGCATTTATAGATGGAGGAGGAAAGGATGCCATTACAGCCAGGAAACTAGGACATGCATGTAACTCAGTCCACTTGTGGAAGACAACTGCTAACTTGGTTTTGCCCAGAGCAGCTAGTCATTTGTATGAACTACATCTGTGCTGTATGTGTAGAGGTGGGAAAAGGGTTGAGAGTCCTTTCATGCAGTGTTTCATCATGGACCCTAGTTCAAACTCTTGAACATGGCATATCTAAGTCCATTCTCATTGCTTCCCTTTCCCACTCCCTATTGGATCCTTGGCTTGTCTTTGCTTATCCTCACATATGCCACCCCTGTTCAGTAAGTCTTAACCATGTGGCCCCTACCTTGGGATCCTTCTTTCCAACCTCAGTTAGGTTCTGCTTCTCTTTGCCCAGGTGTGACTGTTATCAGATCCTCACCATAAGAGCATGCTGACAAATCTCTCGCTCCTGAGAGTACAGGTGTTCACCCAGGGCGGGCAGCAGTTATCTTACCCTCCATAGTGCCTGGTACAGCGCTGTGATCAGAGAGTCAGGGAGAGAGTGGTCAGTCTTCGTTTCTAGGGTTGCTTTCCTCACTGTTACAAGTAAATATATTTTTCTTGTGTCTTGAGACCTGACCAGTATTGGTATGCATAAGATGGATGGGAAGTGGTGATGGACAGTCTTTGGAAAAATCCATGTATAGGAGAAAACTAGCTGAGTGATCTGCATTTTATGAGGAATGATGGGCTGCTCAGAACATCTGCATCCACAGATTTGGGAATGGGGGACAGGACTTTTTCATTCTATGTCCTTCAGAATTTTGTAAGTCAGACAGTTGAAAGGCTGGGGTAAGCAGGTAAAAAAGTGATCTTCTTTTAGTTCTCTTGCAACACATGGGCTGAACTTTCTTGGCAAATGGAAGCCTCTTCCATTATTCATTGATTTTAGTACATTCTCATCCAGTGCTCACTCTGGGTCAGATATTACCCTGGTTGCTTGGGATACAGTGCCTGCTTCAGGGAGGTGTTGCAGGCTTCTTGGGGAGAGAGAGGAAGAGTAGACAGAATACTGCAATCCACTGGGGACTGTAGTCCCCAAAGAGAACAAAAACACTTATAATGAACTTTGTATCCCTCAGAGCCTCCTATCTGCTTGGTACAAGGGAAGAACTGCTGCCCTCCACCCCTCTCTATACAAACAAAGACTTCATTGTATGGTCTGGAACATTTGTACCACCACTTAGAGAATTCAAAGCCAGGGAGAAATTAGTTGTAATAGGTGTATTTGAGATTGGAGAGCTTGACGAATTTTGACTGGTTGATGATTAAGAAAGGCAAGAAAATAATTTTTTTCCTTTCCAAAGAAGATGGTTTTGGGACTGAGACAAGGTAAGATTTTTGTTGGTCACAAGCAAAGAATCTTTCTGCTATCGTTCATTTGTGTGAGTTTCTAGGAATCTGTAAGAGAATTTCAGGGGAAGAAATGGAATGTTTCTTGTTTGCTTTATAAAGAAATTATTTAAAAGGGCAAAGAGTTTGCGTGGGGGGGATGGGGGAGGGGGGAAGGGGCATATCCTTCTCAATTGGACCCACTTATCTTTTAGGTTCAAGTTCTGCTTGGTCCACACCCATGCAAAGAGCTCTTGGATTTTTTATGGCAGCCACTCTAATTCTCACCATTCTTCAAAACATCTCTCCTTTCTTTGTCAATGCTTGCTTGCTTCCCCCAAATTAGATGATTCTCTATTCTTTGCATTCCAGGAAAACCATTCTCATACCTCCATCACTGTACATACCTCTGCTTCATAATCTCTATGTATCTGAAACACACTCATTTATGAGGACAAATGGGCATAGACCACAAGGTATTATCCCCACCAGTCTATCCATTTTAAAGTCAGTTGTTAAAGGTCCAGTCCTGCTATATAATTAGCTGTATAACTTTTGGGCAAGTTTGTTAATCATTGTAAACCTCAATTTCTTTCTTTAAAAACATTTATGGGTAGCTACCACTGGATGTTTAGTTATGCAGATAAAATTAGGCAATATGCATGCAAAGAAGTTCGCACAGAGCTTGGTACTAGGTGGGCACTCACTGAAAATTACCTACCTTGATCAAGTCCTCTGTAAGGACTCCTTGTATGACCTGGATAAATATTTCAAGATAATGATTTTTTCCTCAGCTGCATTCTTGCTGTGGGGCTTTAGTACAGATTCCTTATACTTAAGAAATGCAAATATTTATAAAATCTTCAGGCGTTTAAAATTTTAAAATTCTGTGGGCCATGAGAGGAACAAACAAAAAATGGCACATCAAAGCATTAACATGATCCAATTAAAATGTCCAAGCTTCAGTGTAACTTGTCATCTTTTGTAATTCATTCAATCTCAGTTTCTATCTCCCTGAAAGCTTTCCACTGTTGCTGGGGATTGATCTCACAAATTGCTTTTGGGAAACTAGTCCCAAGATCCTATGCCCTCAGCCCTGCTTTCTACCATCCCGAAAAACATCATTCTGGTGAGATTAAATGCCTTTGGTACGTATGAAACCACACAGTGACTACATCACATTGTGGAGGCACAGAGAGGGTTTTGGGTCAATGCACTTGGTCAATTTTACTTCTGGAGAAATCCGTCTTTCCTACTAGAGAGAATGAACTGTGTTGGGGAAACTATTGTCGGCAAAGAGCCTTTCTAGAACAGGTGTGCAGGTAGGTAGGGTTCTCTCAATTTCTTCACCAGCTGTTCAGGCCAGAGGATCACAGGGAAACTTATTCATGACAAATTTCAAGCTGCACTAATTGAAGAAGTTAGGAAAACCAGGCCCTATGTCAGGTGGTCTTTTTTTTCCCCTTTTATTTTTTTCTTTTCACTGATTACAATGCGATTTTTTTTTTAGTTATTAAAAAAGAAAATAAAAAATCAAACAGTAAAGAAAAGCAGTCCTCCAGGTGTCCTTTGCCAAACCAGCAGCGGTTAGTGAGTGAGCGAGGGCATATCTATAATTCAGCTAGAGAATATTTCTCTTAATAATTAATTGAGCGCCACAAAAGGAGGAGGTCCAATAAGGCCCTCGAACAAAGCTGCCTGCTGAGGACGACAGTGGCCGCCTGGGAGCCAGGTGACCCTCCCAAGGTCGGATTTGCTCCAGTAGCCCTGGCGCGCGCCGCCACTGCTGGCTTGGCGGATCAAACGGAGAGGGGAGAAGTGCCCGGAGCCCCCGTCGCCACCTGGGTTTCTATGTGCGTGTGCGTGTAAATCCCCACTTTCCGCCGCTAACCTTTCTTTTAGATTTGTGGGAACTGCATATTTGCATCCATGCCCAAGGGCACTTCATATGCCAGCACCTAATAAGCCAGCTGGGAGCCTACCTGGGGTTAGGACAAACCAGCCTACCCGCGGGACGGTAGTACGCGTTTTGCTGTCCGATGGAGGTGGGTGGTGGTAGAGAGCCGACTGCTAACTACCAAGGAGATCTCCCGGGAGCCAAACCTCTCGTCGAGTCGTATTTCTGTTTGCAGCAACAGGTTCGCCAAGGGCTCCTCCACTTCCACAGCCCCCCGCCACCCTCGGGCGGGACCTGTGACCCGCAGGAGCCTTACGGTTCTCTCCCGCTCGACCCTGTACCTCCAGTGCCCAGCACTTAACTTGGGCCTTATTACAATTTCTGCAGCCCATCCCTCAGCCGGGTGAAACACACATTTAAAGTACGTTTCCTCTGCGCCCCGGAGGCCCGGCCCCCGAGTTGAGGCTGACAAACTGTGTGTAGGGGAGGCGGAGATGGAGCAGCTGGGCGAACTCGCAGACGACGGGAGGGCTTTCGGCCGGCTGCCCCTAAACCTAAAACCCGTTATGGGAGGCGGCTGGTGGGCCGTGGAAGATGGAGAGAAATCGGGTCAGGGAGAGAAGATGCTCAGAGGCACCCTGTTGTAGAGTCTGGGCCTCCCGTCGAGGTCGCCCCATCCAACCTCTCCTGGGGCTCCCGCCAGGAGAGAGGCTCAGGACCCCATTTCAGCTCACCGGGAACGCCTCGCCCTCGGTATGAGCTCCTCGCCTCTGGGAGTACCAGCCACGGGCCCCTGGAGTGGTTCCCAGGCGCTGCCCGGAGCCGTGGCGTCGGGGGGCCGGGCCCGGGGCGGGCCGTGGCGGCGTCGTGACTGCGCTCGCCCTGCCGCGCGGGGAGGCGCCCCTGGTGACCGCGGCGAACGCCACACCCTCGGCCCGGCCCTGGCCCCGCCCCCGGCCGGCGCGCGTTCGCGGCCAGGGGAGGCGTGTGCTGCTTTTGCAGCGGGCGAGAGAGGGAGAGGGATGGATGCTGGAGGAGGAATTCGGGTTTAACGAGTGATCGCTGCTGTCTAGGATTTTGTTGCTTTCTCTGGGGAGCCTTGACCTCCTTTCCCGGACGAACCCTCCTGTGTTGAACTCCAGAGGAATCCGGAGTCTTGGGGTCTTCCTGGGGCAGCCCCGATCCCCACCCTGGGCTCCAGCAGCGAGGACTCTATGCACCCCCTGGCCAGGCAACAGAACTTGTTCCGCGGATGTTGTGGAGCTTCCACCTGCCACACTGGAGTGATTCCTTCTATCCCCTCCTCCAGCTGTAGCAGCTTAAGAGGGAAAGAACAACTAACCGGGGAATTTTCTTTAATTTTATTTTTCACCCCACCTCAGAACGGTAAGTATGTTAACCTCTCTTGCCTCTCCACTCTCCTCTTTTGGCTGTTAAGAAACAGTGGACATCTGAGGGGTAAATAATATCGGGAATGTGACAGAAGGGCATGAATGGAAGGCGGTTAAAAATAAACCAGGAGGTGGAAGGAGGGAGGTGCAGATGCTGCGCGGCGCTCTGGGGGGCCAACAGTTGTTATTTTCCTAACCCTGGGGATGGGGTGCGTGCGCCCTGCTTAATGTGCCGGAGCGGGAACCTGAATCCGGAGGCGAGGGTGCGATTAAAGATGTCGTTTCTCAACGAGGTGGGGTTTAGATTTAGCATCGTTTTGCCTCATTTCAGACTCACCGGTTCCGTTCTTTTGGAAACAGCTGGTGAACGGGTTTGAATTGCATCCTCTCCTAGCATTTGGATTTGGGTGCATTCTCCGGGCATTTGAGCAACACATAGGACTGTATAAATGGCGTGCGTTGAAGTGTATATTTCTCACGGTGTTGGCCTTTTCTGATTCTTTCTCTCAGTCTTTCTCCTTCTCTCTCTGATAAGGTTCAGGTATCAACCGAAGACTTGCAGGAATTAGCAATGAGAGATGAAAACAGCCTTTTTGACGGGGGTTGGGGTGGGAGGAGGAAGGGCGGGATGCTTGGCTCTTTGGAGGTGCAGGAATTCAAGAATATGTATTCTGCAAAATCCTATTAGTTTAATGATGTTAAAGAGGCAAGGGAAATTTCTCTGCAAAGGTCTCCCCCATAACGGCTCCTGGGAGTCTGCTGGAATAGATTCTCCTAACATGAACACCTTGAGAAGGAAGAGAGATTTTAAACCAGTCTGGTTTGGTGGGTGGAAGGATTCTTTCTTCCTTTCCTTTCTTTTTCTTCTCCTTCCCCTCTTCTTTAGATCAGGGGTAGTGAGGTAACTGTAACCAATTAATAGGAAGGTAGTTTGCTTTTTGTAGGGTGGACAAGGGAGTTAAATAAACAAAAACTAACAAACCCAAATAAATAAGAAATTATTTATGGTAGATCAAAAAGAGGGCGGGTCTGGATCTCCTGCAGAGTTGGTGGTAAATTAGAAGACCCTTTAATTCATGACCTTATGGGAGCCAGTTGTTGGGGATAGGTATATGCATAGAATACAAATATAGGGGTACTTTGGTTACACTAGGGCGTTATTTAAATAGTGCATTATAATCACTTCGAGGGAGTTGGGAATGAAACTAAGCAAACTCTCAGGCTCTTTGGCCTGTGAAAGTCTTTAAAGAATGATGGCCTGGCCCTCCACAGTGAATGTGACCCCAGGGAGGTTTTGTATATAGAGAACCTGAGGGTAAGCATTTCAGAGTAAAAGATGATGGTAGTAGGAGTTAGGCAAAGAAAGGCGTATGTCATTTAAGATAACTTCAGAGATGTATTTTCTGGATTTTGTGTCCCAGTTAAGCTCATCTCTTGCCCTTGGAGAATATGCAATCGAGAAGGGATCTATGACTGGGAAGCCCGGTGTTTGCCACTTCCCTGCTTGTCACTTCATGAAACTCTGGTGTGTTTAGGCTTCTAGGCTGACACAATTCAGCAAATAGCAGCAGGTGGTCAAGAGCTGAATCCTGTTACTGGCTCCAGAAAGCTGTTTCTCTTATCCTCCCCAAGTGCTTCTAGTAATAGAAGCTGGTAGATGCCCTGAGTTCTGTCATTTTCCTCCAGTTCTCTGGGCCTCTCTGCATTCTTGGAAGTCCGGGTGGATAGAGTGAATGGAAGGAGCAAGGAGACAGGTGATTGGGGCAGGAGCTCTTACGGGTCCTGGCTTGGAAGCTAGACCTAGCCAGACTCAGAGAGAGCCAAACTCACAAGGAAGAAGAAAGGCCAGGAATACCAAGTGATAGTGGAAACAAATCAGGCTGCAAGGAAGACATGATCAGGAAGCGGGGGATTGGAAAGCAAGGTGGGCAGGGACAGAGAGGAGGAGGGAAGTTGGGGAATAGGAGACATGGATTAAATTATAGGGGGCAAAGTATGACAGGCTGAAAACAAAGTCCACACAAGCTGGATTTAAAGCGTAAGGAGCTAGTCTCTTGAGGGGAGTATAGTGGGGAGCATCAAGGTGAACATGGAGGAACCACAAGAAGAGAAGATGATTACTAGGGCTGTGGAAACTGAGCCTAGCTCCTAGGTTGTGGGTGGTTCTGCAGGGAGTTGTAGGGAGCGTTCTGGAGTCTAAGGAACAGAAAAACAACAACAGGGCTATGCTTCAGAGTCAGGGAGTGCCAACTTAACACAGGCCATTGGTGAGTTTCAGAATGTTCTGGATGTCCTCACATTTTGTACTTCCCTAACGTTAGACATTAGTATAAGGACATACACATTTGGAGATGGGGAAATAGCCAATGAAAGTTTGGTTACTGTCATGTTATTAGTAACTGCCAGTGTTTATTGATATTCATTATGTGCCAAGGCACTGTGTGTTCTATCACTGTCTACTCATTCAATCCTTACAAAAGTGGGATGGGGGATGTCGCATAAGCATCTATACTTTGTAGATGAGGTGACTGAAGCTTGCTCAAGTTGGCAGAGTCCGGATTAAAGAAAACTTTTTTCTGACTTCTCTAGTCCTGAATCAAGACAGATAGGGGTGAAAGGGTACTAAATTGAGAAACATTTTATGAGTGAAAATATTTAAAAATGGCTTGATATCAACGAATGATGGAAGCAGCTGTGAAGTGACAGCATTATTCTTCTTGAATTAAGACTTAGCCTTAGTGAAAGGCGGGACTGAAAGAAGAGCCATTAGGTTGAGAGTAGAGAGAGGAAAAATAATTGAGTTGCCATGAAATTAGAGCTAAAATAATAACCAAATAAGAAGGACAGAAAGATGGTTTAGTGAGAAGGAGATTTAACAACCTGCCTCAGACTCCTTGGAAATATATGGTCACGTGGTGCTTTGTGTATTTCTATTTGCTGGAGGGCAAGAGAAAGAAGTGGATGTGAAGGAAATGCTCAGTTTGCTCTTTATGATTTGATTCTTCTTTTTATTTTTCTCCTATGCTTGTTTCCCTTCCTTTTTCAGGTGAAGTGCTTCTTCTGCTTGATTTTAGCTGAAGGATGCTCAGCATTTCTTTGATTTCTATGGAGACCTCAGAGCTGGGTTTGCCCCTGCTGACACCTCATCTTGCACCTTCTCTACCTCCCAAGGTCTTTGCCTCTGTTGGTAGCTTGGCATTGCCCTTGGGTCCAGGAAGCCTGTGATGAACTTAAGGGGAGAGCCTGAGAGTCATCCTGATAGGCTTTGAGCAGCAATGGCTGGACATACTTCAAGTCACATGTTAACATGGGTCAAGCCGTCACTAGAAGGCAAGTGCTAAGACTAAAGGCTTGTTTGCATTTTATTTAAATTTGATGGACTCAGCTTTGGACAATTTCCATGGTAGAAAAATATATTCCATTTTCTAGGCACAACTGCTGGCTGTCAGTTACTTCCTGCCTTCGAATCTTGTGGCATCCATCATCAGCCACATCCAGACATATTTCCAAATTTGAACATTATCCCCAAACTGGTGTTTGGGAGACCCCCAACCATTTGTGACATAGGCTTGAAAGGGCTAGGCTGTTTATCTAGATAAGCCAAGCTCTGGAGAGCAATGTTGAATCCCTGGGAAGCGAGAGTATGGGGTGTGCTGATTTAAAAACAGAAAATGCAAAGTTGGACTGAAAATATCTTTAGTCTTCCAAGCAATCTGCTTAAGTGTTCCAAACTTACCTTAATCTGGTGAGAAAAGGAGCTGCCCTATTTTTCTTTGTTCTTCGTCTACAACTGGAACCAGCCATTTCCCAAAGCCACCACCATGGAGGTTGCAATGGTGAGTGCGGAGAGCTCAGGGTGCAACAGTCACATGCCTTATGGTTATGCAGCCCAGGCCAGGGCCCGGGAGCGGGAGAGGCTCGCTCACTCCAGGGCCGCTGCGGCAGCCGCCGTGGCAGCCGCCACAGCTGCTGTGGAAGGCGGTGGGGGTACTGGAGGGGGATCCCACCATCACCACCAGCCGCGTGGGGCCTGCACCTCCCATGACCCTCAGAGCAGCCGGGGTAGCCGGAGGAGAAGGCGACAGCGGCCCGAGAAGAAGAAAGTCCACCACCGTCAGAGCAACTTTCCTCACTGTACTGACCTGATGGCCAGCGGCTCTGAAGAGAAGATCCTGCGGGAGCTGAGTGAGGAAGAGGAGGAGGAGGAGGAGGAGGAGGAGGAGGAAGAGGAGGAGGGAAGGTTTTACTACAGCGAAGATGACCACATCGATGAATGTTCCTACACGGACCTGCTGCCTCAGGATGACGGGGGCGGCGGGGGCTACAGTTCAGTTCGCTACAGTGACTGCTGTGAGCGCGTGGTCATCAATGTGTCAGGCCTCCGCTTTGAGACTCAGATGAAAACCCTGGCCCAGTTTCCAGAGACCTTGTTGGGGGACCCTGAGAAAAGGACTCAGTACTTTGACCCTTTGCGTAATGAGTATTTT